TTAAGTCCTAGTAAAATAGAAGGGGTATGTTAATCTAACATAGCACCTACTAGAGGTAGTATAGGATACTAAGGCTCTAGATAGGTTTAAGGAATAGTATAGGGATACTACGTATAATAATAGCCTAATACGTATAAAAACTAGGAAATAAGGGTAAAAGGAAACTAGAATAATAACTTAGACCTTTGTTATAATTAAGAAGTAGAAAGGTATTAGAGAAATCTTTTAATTATCCTTATAACACTCTAAGCAAGTGCCCTACTACTAAAGTTTTATAATATAGCTAACAATTAGGTAGTAGTATCTATACTATTACTATCTATAACTACCTCCCCCCTAGCCCCCCCTAAACTATTGTTTATATTATTCTAACGCCTCTACGTCTCTTAGTAATAGCAGTAACGCTTACGCGCAGCACAGGTAGGGGACAACTTAGTTAACAAGTACAAGCAGCAGTAGTAGCAGCGTTAGGAGGAGGGTAGTGCTTTAATAGCTTGCTAACGCGCAGTACCCTAGGCCTAAAGAAAACAAACGTTAGAATAGATACAAAGGGAATAAGGGAAAACTAATACTAATAATAAGAGTCTTAATACCTTAGGTAGTACGCTTAGTAGCGCTCTTAAGCTTGTTAATATAAAGGTTAGTTTAGGCCTAGGTCTTGTTTATACGCTAGTTAATACGCTAGAAAGTAACACTAGTAGTAGCAGCAAGCTATATAATATTATTATTGCTATAACTACTATATAAAGGTGTAATAGTAGACTAAAGTAGAAACGCTAGAGTACTAGTAGTAGATAAAATAATAGTACTAAGCTAATACTAATTATAAGCGCGCAAGTAGGTAGTAGGGGCAAGTAGAGTAATAGTATTATTAGTTTAAGCCCTTAATATAAGATCCTTAAAATAATAGTAGAGCTAGTAGAACTATAGTATAAACTAGTAATAGGTGCCTTTAGTAGGTTTCCCTATAAAAGTACTAAGGGTCCCCTTCTTTATAATATAGAGGTAATCCTCCTAGTAACTATAATAAAACTAAAGCTAGTTGCAGAGGGCTTAGTGAATATTAGGATTATTAGCAAGGATAGCTTCTAACTAAGTACAAGTCTTGTAGCTATAATAGCAGGACTTGTATAAAGGCCCTAGATATAGTTAGAACTCGCTATAAAGAAAATAAAAATTAAGGGGAACTTACTACTACCTTCCTAATAGTTGCACTTACTAAAGAGATAAAGCTAGTTAATACACTAATTATAGGGAAGTAGCTTTATAAAACTACTATTATATTCCTTATTATCTAAGTTACTAGAAATAATAAAGCTACTAAGCAACTATATTTAGGGAGATATGTGCTAAGTAAAAAGTTAGTGTAGGAAATATAGGGAGAATATTAGAAGTACGCACCTTATCTTAGTAGGCCTAGCGCAGGGTCTAACTACCTTATAGTAGATCCCTACTACTAGCACTAGTAGTGGCAGACAAGAATATAATAGGGGCTAGATAGGCAGGATTAACAGAAAGAGAGTAGAGAAAGGGCTAATTAGTAGAGAGAATCTGTTGTGTAACAAGTAAGTTTAGGAAATTTATAGTAGGGTAGGATAGCTATATTAGAACTTTTATAGTAGGGTGCTAAAATAATCGTATAGACGCTACGCGCGCGTACTACTTAATATATAGGCCTGTTATAAATTAGGAAGGAATATAAAGATATAATAATAAAACCAAGAAATATAGTAATAAAGCCTAATATAGATTATAAAGGACAAAGATATACCCCTAGACCCCTAAGAAAGACGATTTTATAATAGGTTATAAGGGAAGGTTAGGGGTATGTAAAGGGCTTAGGCTTATGCCTAAGCCTAGGTCTAACACAAGATAGACTAAGTCTAACACTACTACTAAGCGAACACACTAGACACCTATAAAAAGGCGTAGAGGGCTTATCTCTCCTTTAAGATACTAAATACTATTATCAACGCTTATTGCATTCTCCCTTAAGGCTAGTCTATAACAATCTCCTATACTAAAGTTTAGTTCTAGTGTTAGTTTAGGAGTTTAGAGCCCTATTAGCTTAGGGGACTTTATATAGATCCTTTATACTAAGCTAGCTATACTTAGTACCTACGCTAGAGGTGTCTGCTTAGGGGGTTGTGAATTACTAGGCTAGCTAGCCTAATTATTTACCTCCTCTAGCTCTACCCTACCCCCTAGCTCCTACGCTAGGTTTAGTCCTCTTTGCTTACTAGACTTCTTATATTACTCTACTATAATATAAAGCTAATTAAAGATATTAAGCTCTTTATATACTTCTCCTATATTATAGATCTTATCTTTACTAATAATATTAACTATCTTTTAAGCCTCTAACTATTAAAGCTACTCTAGATCTTTCTCTTTATAGAAAAGATCCTTATTAAAGGTAATATTCTGCGTTATAATAATCTAATTAAGCAAGGGGATCTATATCCTATAAATATTAGATACTCTATATCCTACTAGATATCTAATATAACCCTAAGGGTTTACCTTAAAAACCCTCTTGTAACGCCTAGCTGCTTAATTTCTATTAAGGGGGTAAGCCTAATAGCTATAGGCGTATATTCTGCTCTAATTAGGGCGGAGATTAGTAGTTGCCTCCCTTATCTACTCTAGTTGCTACTACCTAAAGTATCTAGTAAACTAATAATCTAGCACTTTATTAGGTAATATTATATTATAAGCATAGGATAGGCTTATATTATAGAGCTAAGTTACTACTTTAATAATTTTAGGCTAGAGCTTTGTTAGTAGGTTAGCACTAATCCTTATTTTAATTAATTTTGTTATAATCTCCTGCCCTACTCTTTCTACTACCTGCTATTAGCAGTTTATAGGTATATATAGGTAAGCTCTTAATCTTAATACTATTATTAGCTACCTAGATCTAAAAGCAAGATTAGCTATACTATAGGAGCGTTATAACCTTATTATCTTATATAATCTTAACTATACTAAGCTTATATTAGTTAAGTATTAAGCTGTTAAAATTTTTAAACACCTATATAATCTTATTAAGGTTTTTAGCTTATAGTAGATAGGTATAAAGCTTTCCTAAGTAGTTATACTTTAATACTAAGATCTATTGCTTATAAGCTATACCTATTAGCATATTAAATAGATCCTATAATACCTAGTAGTATAAACGTAGTAATCTTTCCCTTAGTTGTCTTAATATAACCTATTAGGCATGTGTAATAGCGTAGTGCTTATATTTGCTCCTAGGAGTTCCTTTAATCCTAACGTTTATTACTAACTTAACTAGAGCTTTAAGCGCCTTAGGTCCTAAATAGCCTAATTATTAGTGCTAAAGCTCCTTACTATTGTGTCTTAGGTAAGTTATCTAGGATTATTAGGGTTATTTAGGCACTATACTTTAGATTATTAGATATAGAGTAGAGGGCTTATATTCTAGGAAAGTTAAGTTAAACTTGCGTAGTAACTTAGCTAATATAACGCTCTTTTCTAATAATCTAAACTATAAGGTTATATCTAGCCTAAGGAACTAAACTCCTACTTTAAGCAATTAAGCTTCTAATATAATATTTATATAAAATCCTTCTACTAACACTACGTTAGTAAGCACTAAATCTTCTATTTTTATACCTCTTAGTCTATTAAGACTATTAGGGATTACTCTAGTCCCTCTGCCTAAGATTAGAAAAGCTTAAGTTCCTGCTTTAACTATCTTATATCTAACTAATCTAAATAAGCTTTCTTCTAGGTAGCTTATATTATTAACTAAGTGTACTACACCCCTGTTATTAAATATAGTACTCTTTAATAGAGCGTAAGCTTTAAAGTCTATAGTTAAATAGATCCTGTTTGTTTTCTCTACTATTAATATAGGGTTAATTAGTGCCGCCTAGATACTACCTAGATAGGTAATTACGTTTGCCTTACTACTATAATCTTAATTAATAGGATAGGACTTAATTAGAGCTTTTCTTAACTCTTTAAATTTTTAATTCCTATTAATCTTTTTCTTAATCTCTAATTATTAATTAGTAGTAAGCTTATTATATATATTAGTCTAAGCTTTAATAACATTTTTATATTTAGAGGTTTCTATAGGTAGGATCTACTATATAGGTATAAAGACTCCTTCTTAGGTTAATTAGAAGGTAGAGCTCCTATTATTATAAACACTCTAGGACCCTTAGAGCTTAATCTTATATCTTTCTCTTAGAGAAGTAATAAATAGATCTTAGTAACCTATAGGAGGTTATAAGTTAGCTCTCCTATTACTAACTTTTTAATAATCCTTTAAAACATAGTTTAACCCTAATCTAGTAAGATTATAGTAGATAGAGCTTTAAGATAATCCTGTACTATAAGCTATCCTTTAATATTAGGAATATTATATACCTTAGCTTGCGTATATAGGATTATCTACTCCTTCTACTAGTAATTAGCGTCTTAGCTACTTATCTTTGCCTTAGTAAGATAAGCTTTATACTATAATCTTGCTAGTATTACAGCGCTTAAATTAGTTAGCGCTAGGTTATTATAGAGTACTTAGATAAGTGCTTAGAGGGTTACTCTTCCTTAATTAATAAGCTTTATATAGGCTAGGGTAAGGATCCCTTAATCTACTATATTATTAACCTATATAAAAAGGTTCTAGATTACTAATAACTTTAATACCTAATCTAATAAGCAGGCTTAGTACTAAGCTATTTAGAGTTTATACTGCTTGCTTGTTATATTAGATAGCGTGATACCTGTTAGTATATTAGGCTTAATAGGTTTATTCTTAAAGTAGTTTTTAGTATCCTAAGTATTAGGGTCTACCTCTACCTAGATCCCTTTAGTTAGGGTATAGTATCTAAATTAAATATACTAGGTAGGCTAGTTAGTTAATCTAGTAAGTAGGATATCCCCCTTTAGGATTTAGTTGCTTATAGTAGAAGAGTAATAAGTAAGCTTCTACTTAAGAAATAGTATAAAAGAAAAAGTAAAGCTTGCTAGCTTAGTATCTAAGTTAAATAATACGCTTAAATAGATAGGACAATCTTTAATAAGGTAAAGCGCGAACTAGGCTTATAACTATAGAAATCTAGATTACTAAGGTTAGGAATAATTTAGGAGATAGATTATTAGATTATATCTACTACAATTAGACTTATATATATAGAGCTTTAGCTACCCTTACTAGAAGGTAAATAATTAGTAAACCTTCCTTACTAGAGCTCCTACTTTTTATTAGGTACTTAGTAGTAAGCTAGCAGTTAATTAGATAGTGGGTTATACAGGGGTATTAATTAGGGATATTAATCGGGATTGATCGGATCAAGATGCTCCGCGATCTGGTTGTTATCCCTCCTGCAACACCTTGGTATTGCAATATGTTACTATCACCACCTCTACCACCACCTCTACCACCCACTCTACTACCACCTCTACTACCACCTGGAAATCGCCATATATTAATACCTATCCTAATACCAACGTTAATATAGCGATATATCACTATTACCGCCTATACCACCGCCCATATCACCACTAATACCCACCTCGATACCGCGCACAATGCCCAACACTCAAACTCCAACAGGCCTCCTAACTGGCCCCTCACTTGGCCTACCTGCTCCTTCCCTTGTTCCCTGCCCGCTTCCATGAGCGCAATCTGGAGTCTATGCTGAAGCTGCCTTGCCTTGGCCGCTGCAACCGCTAGAGATCCATGTACCATGTGCAACTGATACACACTCCGTGCCAGCTCGTTGAATGCAACCTGCACGGCTAGCTTGCTGTAGCCTGAAGGTCGCGGAACTGGTAGCGCCGCAATTGCTCGTGTGTAATTATAAGCTTCTTGACCAATTCGCTGACTATGCTGCCCTCGCTCTCGCGTGTTGCTATAGGTGCCGCCCATGCGCAATCAAATTCTCTGACCTGCAAGTATAGCTAGTGCGTCGTAGCAAAAGTGGCATTAACAAGTCGGAGCTCCAAGGTCGCAGCATGAGTGCGTTTCGTCACGTTTGCTAGGCACGCTATACCGCTGCTTGTGCTTACGTTGATAGGGTGCGTAGGGTAAAATGCAGGCACTGAGGCACAATACCTGGAACAAAACATCGCAACCCTATATAAGAGGAAGACCGTGACCCGCTGTCATGAAGGCTGATGCATTAATGACAAGACTGCGCCCTGGATTTGGATTCTTTTTGGACATTTGGAAAGAAAAAAGTAGTGGCTGGATGGCGACTTGAACGACGTGGCATCTGCGAACAACAGAGGCACGCTTTAATCTGGCAGATGTATATTGAGCAGACAACCAAACAGACAGAGCAGCAAGCTCAGGTGGTGTGCAACATCAGAGACATGGCCAAGCAGTCAGTGATGTTCTAGCGTAATCCTACCGGTAACCGATTGGTGCTGATTCACATCTCTTTCACCATTCTTAATCATTTCCTCTTTCAACCTTGATATGTCTTTGTCTCTGCTCGTGCGGATAGTAGTCCTAAGTCGCGCCACTTTTTGCCCTCCACCATCCATACTTTATCTTGAAATCTAGCAACAACTAGGTCAAGGCTAAGTACTCCGCTCTACAAAGCCTTTGATACTTGTTACAGCATTGGTAGTCATTAGAGACATATACACAGCTTACTACCGTAAATCCTACGAGGCTCGCTGTTGCAGGACCCTAAGGCAAGTTCATGAAACTCAACTAGCTAAGTCCAGCAGGTCGATGTATCAAAAGCATCTCTTAGGTCACCGTCAGCACGAGGATATACACAAACACCAAGAGTATCTTATCTTCTCAAAGCACCACATTCCTCCGCATCACATACTAGAACCAGCCAGGAAAAGCAGTACATGAATTCGCTAACTAAGACGCTCGACCTAACTGCTTGAATAATTCACAGCGCCTATCTCTCAACCGCTCTGCCCGTCCCATACCCACGCGCACCCGCTCGTCGACACCGTCACTGCCTAGGCGCCAGCACTCAGTCAGGACTCGCTCCGCGTCCAACTCTCACGACATTCGAACTTGGCTGATCGCCAGCTCCGTCAAACTCGTGACTAGCTTCAGCGACAGACGCAATCAGTTCATGGTTAACTGATCAAGCCCACGATACATTCTTCACTGGCATCCAGAAGTCAGTTAGGAGGCGACTAAGTTTGCGTGCTATTGCCATGACCGCCGCAGCCGCAGGCACCCTCTACGTCGCTGGGAACCTCCTCGCCTACAATCTTTAACCAAAGCCCTTCTACCTCGAGTAGTAGCACTACTGTAAAAAATTGTTTACTGTAGAATGGTACGCTAGGGGTTTACTATATAGGTGTAAACTAACCTTGTGTATACCTGTAAATAGGTTTAAAGTGGTAGTTTACTTTTATTATAGGGGTTTAAATTAAGTATAAAAAGTAGTTTTATTTCTATTATACGCTATAATACCTAACTTAGACTAAAAGGGATAGAAAAGATTAGCTTTACACTATACGCATATATAACATAATAATAAGTTATAATATTGTTACTAATAGGAGGTGGTGATAATAGAGGTGGTGGTGGTGATAGAGGTGGTGGAGGTGGTGGTGGTGATAGAGGTGGTGGAGGTGGTGGAGGTGGTGGTAGAGGTGGTGAAGAAGATTAACGTGATCCACCACCGAGCGCCCACCCCCACCGAGCGCCCACCAACACCAAAATCCACCACCCACTAAATGAGGATATTGCGCCACCTACAATAGCTATTATCACAAGATTTCTTAGAGTTGCAATTATTAGATCTATTAGAGTAGATTAAATATTTTAGATTATATAAGCAGCTTTTTAGGGGGTCTAATTAGGCGCCCACGCTGTAAAGTTGCCTCTACTACTATATCCTCTTCTACTAGCTCCTTATTAACCACCTTAGCTAGTATAATAGTAGGAGGCTTAAGGATTTACCTCTTGCCTATTTAGGATATTTTAATATTATTTTAGAGTTACTTTTCTAGTTACTTAGTAGTTTTCTACTTATTATATATAGTAGCTTTTTAGGTAGCTTTCTCCTCCTACTCCTTCTTAGTAATTACTTAATTTAGGTAACTCTCCTCTATAAGTTAAGCTTTAGCAAGCTTCTATTACTTATAAAGCTTAATTACCTTACTTTTTTAGTATTATAGCTCCTATTCTTTAAGGTTCTTTTACCCCTAAAGCTTAAACACTTGCTCTACCTTTAATAGTAAAATAAATTAGGCACTACTACTATAATTATTATTAGGGGGTAATAATAGAGGTTTACTACACTTCCTATACTTCTTCTTATTAGCTAGGGTAGCCCTTAGGTGTTTATTTTTATAGTTAAGTAGAGTATTTCTTACTAATATAGTATAGATTATCTAGCTAAGCTTCTTTAACTATTTATTATAGATATTAATTATAGTATTATAGAGTAACTACTCTATCTTTCTCTAATTACTTGTACTTAATATTAAGGTTATACTATTACTTAAAGAAGGCTAGTTACTATTATTTATAGGTGCTTTAAACCTTAAAAGGATAATATTAAGGTTAAGTAGTAAGATACCTATTACTTTAAAAGCTATTAATATTAGCTTTTCCTTAAAGGTATTACTCTATATAGTATTAAATAACTAGTAGAAATCCCTCTTAGTAATACTTATAAGCCTATAGGAGCTATCTAGAAAACTAGATAGTTAAGCTTTATATAAAGCTATAAAGGGAGTAAATACTATAATATTAAGTAGCTAAAGGGTGTAAGTGCTATAAGGGGGATATATTATAAGTAGGATCTTATATTTATTATAGTACTTAATAAACTCTATTATTATATAAGATCTATAGCTATTAAGGATAAGGAGCTAGTATAAAGTATAAGCTTTAGCTTTTGTCTTATAATTAAACACCTCCTTAAGCTAGGATACCCCTAGGGTGTAGCTTATCTACCTACTTAGTAATCCTATAAAGAAAGCTTAGTATTATAATAGGTTAAAATCTTATAACTAGGTATCCTATAGAGCTCTAGATTAGGACTAATAAATAAGGGCAGGGGTAAGAGTAGTACTATTAGCGCATATGCAAGCTATAGTAGTAATCCACTCCCTATTACTATCCTAGAGTATAGCTCTAATCTTTCTCTGCTTATAGGCGCTCTTATTAAATATATATTTAGTTTTTAATAGTACTCTAATAAGAAAACCCTTCTTATCTATATTATAGATATACTAACTCTTAATATTATATTACTCTATTTTTTAGTATAAAAGCTTAAAGTATAAGCTATACTTAAAGGTAGAATTAGCTTTAAAGTAGTTATAATTAAGCCTAGTAGCCTAATAGGAGATAAGATTAATATTATAGTAGTTAATAAAGCGCTATACCTAATTTTTACCTACTAGATTCCCTATTATTTTAGTTATAAAATTTTAAATAATAGTCTATATAAGGGGTAATCCTTACCTATAAAGCTCTTTAATATACTTTATAAGCTTACTTTCTTATATAGTATTAAGTATTTAACTATTTAGTAGAGTAGTAGTATATACTTACTAAATTTTCTAGTAGTATTTAGATAAGGTTAACTATAAGTAACTATACTTTTCTACTATTTCTAAGTATATAAAATCTTCTCTAAGAGTTAAGGATTTAATTGCTACAAGCGCGTTATTAATAGGTACTATAGTTATTAAGAAATTTAGTGTTAAAAATTTGGTAATTTTGGTGTTAGTGGGCGCTCGGTGGGGGTGGGCGCTTGGTGGTGGATCACGTTAAAGAAAGGAGGGGTAAAATACTTAAATAGTAGGAAACTAGGTATTACTACTTAATACTAGTAGATTAATAGAAGTAGAAATAAAAGTTATTTACTTTTATAGAATATATAGTATAATAAACCCTATTTAGGTTTACTTCTTCTACCTAAACTACTTCTTAGTCTACTTTAGATAAATATGGCTACTGTAAACCGGTTTTGTACCGTAGTGTAGGCAGCATTCCAAACTTGGTTACACGCCGACAGTCCTGACCAGATCGTTGGTCTTCACGCCCTGCTCTTTGCTCGTGCTGTGCAACCTTCGCCCATGGTTCATGTCCACTTTCGCAACCTTTACAAGCACTGGTCAGTGGACAAGGGATATGTGCATAATGGTGCAGACGGCAACTTCCCTGGCAGGGCAATGATGGAGATGGTTTATGCCTAGATACCACAAACGCCCACCCTTTACAGAATGAGATTACCTCCGATATGAACGTCAGAAACCAGAGTTCAACATGACTATCACGGGCGATGATCTTCCCCAATTTCAACCTGGATGCGTCTGCGACCTTACGCTTGCTATGACTAGCCAAGTCTCACATGCCCTTACACCCTTTTGGAAGCACGCACCCCTACCTCAAATACCTGGCGGCCTTTCATCACACTGCCCCTGCACTATTAGCTCTGCAGTCTGGCGCCTTAAACAGGGCCTCGACCCTGCCTTCCTTCCGCCATCAATAGCCAAATTCTATAGCGACGACAAAGACCTACACGAGCGCACATATCTACCTAGTAGCTCTAGAATTACAGATATATGGAAGTGGGTGTTTAGATAGTGTAGATCTCTTTAACTTTTTATTTATCATAGTGTTACGTTGCCCCACAACGGTGCGTTCACGGCACGGTTATTCCATTACGGGATATGGACGTGAAGAGATGTTGCCATGGTTTAAACAAGGCTGGGTTCCCAAAGATGTATTCAGTGTAGCCTAGCGATAAACAGGTAACGTGGAGTACCTTGTGCATCCGGTCTAGGCTAATGGTTTGTATCATTGAAGCAGACATCCAGCTTGGCAAGCGCCATAGTGACCCGTAAGGCTAGGTTGTCAGAAATGGGAACAGTAGCATAGGACACAGAAACGAGAAGCATAAACCAAGATGCGCATGATGCAATCAAGACAGATCTTGAAGACCATTTTGGTCTGAGAAGACTCGCGCAAATGATTGAATACCGAACGAAACAACCTAATGTCTAGGCCTCTTAGCAATAATTGCAGCTACTAGCACAGAAGAGGCATTAAGCGACCGAGCGATAGAGTGCAACACCACCAAGCATGAATTGGGTTATTGGGTGCATATTGGCTTCTAAGCCAAACGAGACGGAGTAACAAGGCCCTGACTACATAGCGAGAAACACTGCGTAACGAGGTGACTTCACTAATTAGTCATAGTAAGACCTTCCTATGCAGTTATATCAAGGTATGGACAATTTACAAGTATTGTTCAGCTGTTCCACATCTAATGCTGGTGTGTGAACATAAAAGACCCGCGTTGTTAACTGCGCTGTTAATCATTGTATTACTGTACCACTTTGTCTAATTCCTAGGTAACTAGCAACGTGCCGAGTTCCTTTGTCTGGACCGCCTTGCACAGTCTCGCACTGGCACCCTCTGGCACATGCTTAGTTGCGATGCCCCTCAGTCTCCATAGAACACTATCACAGTGAACTAACCACCATGAATCCAGCCAGCCGAGACTTCCCAACGGCATACCTGACACCTTCGCGGCTCGGGTAGCATATTTCAAAGTGCCACTATCAACCCTCAGCTATCCTAAACTTGAACGACCCTCAATAGAAGATCAAGCCTGAGACCAACAGTACTTCACTTAATACGGAGGGAACGCAGTCGTCGAATTCTTATTACCATAGATGACTTTTGGTCGACCTGTGCGAATGATCTGCATACCCGCTATAGCTTCTAATGCTACTCGTAGTAGACCCCTCATGGATAGACCACTTAAGCCTCCAGGACTAAATTGGACTAAGGTCCTTAAGAAACACTACTCGGAGCTTAAAGTAAAGAAGAGTTGGCCGTAGGACTAGAAAGGTTATAATATCTATAACATGGCTAATAGTGTCCCCTAATGCTAAAAGACCTGAGTTACAAGCTGTGGAAATGCCTGCGAATGAGGTAGGCTATTTGCATAAAATCTGATCCGTCCATAATGCGCTAACATATTTTTGGGCTTTCAGTGACGATGAAGGCAACCCCGTCAATCACCACAGCCAAGAGGGAGTAGTTGGAGAGCGTAACGCAAGGGTAGCGATTAGCAAAAGGTCCAGTAGACATCCAATAGTTCCATACACGTGATGGTACCTATAGTTAAGGATGTGTAACAAAATGGTGGAGATGGCTATGTAAAATTGGTAAGCACTTAACATACACGGCGAGTGGACGTTTACAGCAGGCAGACATTCAGAGGCGGCTAGCGTTAACAATGACCATATCCAAGCCATACATTAGGAACGAGGGCTAGAAGGTAACGATTAAATCACTAGGCGGAGCAAGATTGTTGTGAGTAAAATGAGCGAAATGCACCTTCATCCAAGCCAGGCCATGCCCAAGACGACGAAGAAAGCAACGCACGCATTATTAATTAATATGATTTTGCGACTGAAAAGACAAGAAGTTCTAAGAGGCTAGATATAGAGCAAGGAATAGCAGAAAGCTAGGAAGAAAGATGTGTAACAGGATTATAGAATTCAAGATGCGTGATGGGACAGGGAGAGGAAAGGTGGTCTACTTTTGCTTTAGGAGCATCAACCGTTATTCCCACCAAAGCTGACTCAATGGCCAGGGACATGACCCTCAATTATTCAATGATATCCTGTTTCAACCCTGGAGTATTATCCCTAGATAATGGACGGCGTGGTGCGAGTGAAATATATTCTTGTACTAGTGTGGCAGTGCAAATGTCCCCACCTGTCATGTAAGAAAATCTAGTCTCTCGCGTGGCAGGGAAAGAACAAGACGAGGACATTCTAGGAGGGCACAACATTAACATCTTAGTATACTAAATCATATTCCTTTTTAGCTATAGAAAGTTAAGGTATCGCGCCTATAGGAGGCTTGCACCTCCTATTTCAGAAATCAAGCATGGCCTATTGTAGGTAGGTAATTGCGCATACAAAAGTTAGGTGTACAAGTGTTATTAGGTGTGACTAAATTAGGCCTTCGCCGCATCGTTAGACTCTCGTCTAAACTCGACGCTTGTGGCCACGCCTGACAGCGATTCCTTTGTCCTACTCCGCAGGTTGTTCTTGATGACGGTGATGCACGCACATTGTTCGATGGTGTTCTCGATGGTGTATTCGACGGTGTATTCTATGATGTGCGCGACAGTGTGTTTGAACGTGTGCCATACAAGGACGGGATTAATAGTTACTTGGCGTGTAGTTGGGTTAATGGCCATGTTGTGTATGGCTAGTCTGTCCCACTCCACGAGGTTCGTCTCGATGACGGTGATGCACGCATGTTCTTTAACGATGTATTCGACGGTGTATTTAACGATGTATTTAAAGGTGTGTTTGAAGTTGTATTTAGTCTTAATGGTATGTTTGAAGGCGTGTTAAGTCTTGCTGGTGTATTTGAAGGTGTTTTCAAAGGTGTATTTGGTCTTGGAGTGTTTGATGGTGCGCTCACTCTCCATGTAGAGTTTGATATAGACGATGCTGTCTGCCTATTGTACGACGACGAGGATGCTGTTGCTGCGTGCACCTTGGGCCTCGGCGTTGCCTGCACGTTGCTCGGCGAGGACTTGTCCCCTCTTGGTGTCGCCTGCACATCCTGTAACAAGGCTGCTTGCACATTGCTCGACGACGCTGCCAGACTCGACGCTGCCTGCACATTGCCCGGCCTACCCTTGGACCTGCGCAAGAGCGGCTGCGGGGCAGGCAGATCACGGCCCAGCCAGTGATATACATCTCTTAGCGTGCGCAGATTCTCCTTGGTCGAGCCGGCTGAGTGGAGGGTGAGGAAGATGAGGACGCGCGGCAACGGCTCGGAGAGAGGACGATGAATTGCTCTGACCAACTGTGACGGGCTAGTACACATTTACGGCATGGTAAAGAGGGAGGGGGGAGGGGGGGGGG